CAGCTAATGACTCCCAGACCAGTTGGTCTTAGGGCATTAGGTGTTAAGACACCCCTACGAGCTTAGTAACTCGGGTCGCAGATACTGATATGTAGATAGTGCAATGTTTGATTCCTTTAAGCTTTTCTCCTCAACCCATGTAACAAGCGTTGGGCCAATAGCTCCCAAGTCAGTTGACTTTAGGGTATTAGGTGTTAAAACACCCCTTCGGGCTTAATTGCTTAGGTTAGGGAGGCTACGAAACCAAACTTATCTACATTTTTATTATCATCATTTTTTTTTCTTTTTTTCTTTTTTTTTTTTTTTTTTTTTTTTTTTTTTTTTTTTTTTTTTTTTTTTTTTTTTTTTTTCTTTTTAATTATATACAATCCCTTTCCCTTAGTTGTTACCTTTAACAAAAGAACATAAATAATGTAATAATCCAATATGCAACCCACAATCATATGTTAAAGTGTGTGTGTGTAAATTAAGGTTTAAAAATACATGTTAAATAAGTATATGAGCAGAATTAAGTGGTAACAATACGAGAGTTTGTAAACCTGAATATTTCAGGAAGTATTATAATAGACCTTGTTAAGAATGGTTACTAAGATGCGTCTCAAGAGTCACTTTAACAAAAGAACTCCTTTACTCTGCCATCCTAGTAACAACAATTATGCACATGCTTTATGAAATGAAAAACAATTTTTTTTTTTTATCAACTACTACCCTCTCCCCCCAACCAAAACGAGACATTGTCCTCAATGTTCTAAGGTAGAAAGATAGAGTATAGAAGATATCACCTGAAATAACGAACACTGACAAAACCTGAAACACACTGAAACAAATATAAGAAACAACAAAACACAATAATAAAACCAAGCATGTGTATGTACAGGTAGTTGTGATTGTGGCTCACATCTTCCCTTGGTTTTACGTCCAAGAATGGCTTAAACGCCCTCTATGGGTTGGGGATAGGCTTCCCATCCAGTTTTCTTAAAAACTGGCAAACAGGGTCTTTTTTAGTCAGATTCCCAAGACTAAGTCGATCATGTTCTTTATGAAATAGTACCATAAATCATGAATTGGACGATGCACATCTCCACTAGGATGCGTCTCAAGAGTCAATAGAAGATTATCTAAAGACTCCTTACTCAGGCCATCCTTAATGAATTGTATTTTATCTTCATGGTTTATAGATACCATTCCCAAAGAACGACATTTTGCATTACAATTCCATTTAGCACATCGATAACAGACTTTCAATTATTTTGCACGACGTTTCTTTATAAAAGTGCTTTTACTTGTTCCAGAAATGTGTGAAATGAAGGAGTTAGAGGACTCACCTGATAATCAGATCGATGTTGTAGTGGGAGGGATAAACATGTAAAGTGACTTGGAACGTGTTGCTGACGTGGACCAAATAAACACGGTCTTCCTGAAAACAAATCCGTGAAGAAGCTCGGATTATCCCATATAAGGCCCGACAAAAATCACGATCATGGAAGATTTGATGGTTGCATCTGCTTTAATTTTTTCTAGGAGATTCTCCTTTTTTTTTAATGGAAAGCCATTTTATCTTTCTTTGAATAGTTGGATCTTTCAAAATTAAATCAATATAATTTTTTTTTCATATTTTAACTAATTTTTTTATTTATAGTATTACAGTAGCTATTATAATTATGATTTGAAAAAAAATATTTTATAAAAAATACTTTTAATTGAGGTTGGTTTGAAAAAATAGATATTTGATTAAAATTGTGGTGGAAGAAAAAATAGTTTAATTTGTTTGGTTAAGAATGTTTTTGAATTTTAGATTATACAATAATTTTAAAAAATATATATCAATATTGATGATTTTAAATTTAAATATTGTAGAATTAATTACTCCTGTTACATCATGAAATAAATAATATTTTATATAAAATATTATTTATTATTTCATTAAATTATTTATAATTCAATTACGTACAAAATTCATCCAATAAGAACTATAGGTTCTTTGATTTTTTGAGCGTGTAACAAAATCAGATAAAATATCATCAAAAACAAAATTAGAATTGCTATCAACTTTCACAAATACTACATCATTATGGGATATTCTTTTAATTTATGTAATGTTATTACATATTAGTTTTTTGAGTAAAATATAATTTCAAAAAAATTATTTTTTTTACCGATTGGATACGGTCCAATGAAATCTACTCATGTTAACAGTGTAAAAAAATTTCAAATTTTAAGTTTTTAGTTGCTTTTGCAAAACCTTGTTTGATAAAAAAATTTATGCAACTCACCACATAAAAACCTGTTTTTGTTATATGACCAAACCCTTAATTTATACAATTAGAAGTTATAGCGTGAACAAATATCTTTTTAGCTTTAAAATCTTTAATTGGGTCAATTTTAGAATTTTTATATAAATAATTAATGTTTTTTTTTATTCATATTTTTATAAAATATAAGAGATTTTTCTCTATTTTTCTACAGTGATTATAATTTTAATCTTAGAATCTGAAAATCTTAATTTTATCTTTTCTATACACATCCTCGTAAAATTTGTTTAGTAAGATAGTGATAAAGCCCTTCTCCACCTAGACAATAAGATGCCAACTAATGTTTGTTTTGCATCACACAACGCAACAAACACACATTAATTATTTGGTCCACGCTTTTGTCGTGGGGTACGTAGATATTCTTTTTCAACAAGAAAATTAAATATGTGAACTTTTTTGACAGGTTTATTAACTTAAAACATATTAAGTGTAAATAAAAAAAATTATATATATATATATATATTTAATTAAATAATTTAAAAATTATTTTTATGTTAATAAATAAATAAATATTATTAAAGATAAATAAATATATATTAAAAAGTCAAAAAACATATATAAATCAAGATATTTGATATTACAACATGGTTCATTTAACTAATTATGGTTCATTTAATTGATTATACTTAATGATTTTATTTATTAAAATTATTATTTTTATTTAATTAAATAATAAAAAAATAAATACACATACAAACTTCATTACATAAAATAAAATGAAAAAAAACATATTATAGATTAATTATATAAAACATGAAAAAAAATATTATTAGATATATTATTAAAAAGAAATATTATTTATTTATTTTTTAATTATAAAGATCAATTATATAAAACATGAAAAAGTTATAGATTAATTAGAAAAACCTATTCAGAAAAATAAATATATACAACATATTTTTTTAAAAAAAACCACTATTTAAAAAAATACAACATATAAAAAAATCAAATCAAAGAAAAGGGGTATTAATTTAAATATCAATTAAAAAAATTAAAATAAATATTTTTTGAAAAAAGCATGAATTTTTTTAAAAACACCAAATTACCAAAAAAAAATAAGAGAACGAGACCAGCCAAGCACCTAACCTATTTAAGAGGGCCCGCATATGGGTTAATTTATTTTTTTTAAAAAATATAAGTAGGATGAATGACATGTTTTTTTGAAAAAAATAAGTCAGATAACGTGCTATTTAATTTAGTCCGAATCTCAATTATTATGGTGTTGAAAAACTAGGGCTAAATATTTGTTTACTCAAAAAATTATTTTTAACTTATTTTTTACCCAAAACAATGATAATTAATAAAAATAATTGTTATAAATATAGATAAAAATACTCTTAATCACTCAACTTAAATTTCACATGAAATAAATTAATAAAAAAATATGTGAAATGTTAATACTAAGTCACACAAACTTTCTGTTCGTTTAAAATAATTATTTTAAGCAGTAATTTTTGTAAATTTGAGGTAAAGACATTTGGGAAAATATAAGGGATATCCAAATAAATTAATATATAATTTTATATATAAATAATGCTAACACTGGTATAAGTTTCATGTATAATCACGTAATTTTATGAAGGGGTAAGAAATCTAAGGATTTTTTTTTAATGAATAGAGATGAAAGCCCTCGATGAATTAATTTGTAAATCTTGATGATCCAGATAAGTAAAATAGTATATAAATTTAGATTTTAGAATAAAATTACTTATTATTTATTTTTATAATATAAAAAATAATTCTAAATTGATGTTAAAAATTAGTGGGTAGGAAAAACAATGAGTGATTAGAGCTTCAAAAAAAAAGGGAAAAAAAAGGAGGTAAACGTTGATTCTTTGCAAGAAGCATATTTCTTTTGGTTGTTATGGTTGTGGTAAGGGATTTTAACAATTTAATTTCATGCGTTAATGGGTTTTTTCATGTAGGATTAAAACCTCCCCTGATTCTTGAATTTAGAGTTCATGAGACTTTTTGTATTTAGATGTTAAATATTGATCTGTGTATTATCTAAATTAAAATAAATAATAATTAAAAAAAGAAATATAAAAACTAAAGAATAATAAAAAAACTTAAATTTTATATATTATTTAAAATAAAAATAAGAATTAAAATAACCGATATCAAACCTTAAAGAAAATCATATTACATGGTTGATTTAACAATCAAGGATGATACCTGTTAATACCAAGATGGATAAAGAAAAACCAAAAAGATATCACACATGCCAAACTACACACGTTACGATTTTATAAATGTAGTAATTTTTTAAAAATTATTTTTAATATTAATATATAAAAATATTAAAAATATATTAATTTAAAAAAAAATTAATTTTTTTCAAAAACATGCCAGAACATTACTCAGCACGATGCCACACAAGCCGCTAGAGAGAAAACATTCTTTGTAAGAAATAGACAGCACATCAATTTTAGTGAACGAAATAATTTTAAGAAAACATTCTCATTTTCCATTCATTTTTCACAGGTATCTTTAAACTAATGCAGACATACTTGTTCCAATAATTGAGCTCTGACATTTTAAAAGGAAAACACGTTCTTACCACCCCGGCCCGCTGCACACTTTCTGTACTTACAAATTATAAATCTAAATCCTCCTTTTCTTCTTCAAAAAGAAAGGAAAGAAAGAAAGAAAATACACTTTCAGAGAGTGAAATGATTCGAAACGAAGTCATTATCGACTTTAGAAACACCAATGTGCTTTCCTTTACTGGTCCTCCGATTTTGCGTTTATTGACCATAAACTACTGCTCTCAGGTTGACTCGTTGCTCTCGCTTCACTCCCTCACTATAATTAAACCCCACCACAAAGAACCCTTCTGATCACCAAGTTTTACTTTTTTAAGCTCTTCCCTTGCTTCTTCATCTCTAACTTCTTTGTTTACTGTTTGATCTCAACGTTTTCTCTCATCATATCTCTCTAAGCTATAGAAATGAAGGTGAGAATGATCAGCTCTCTCTCTCTCTCTCTATTTTCTATTAGATATGACTTGTATGCTTGCATGAATGAATCATGCATCAAGTTTTCTTTTCTTTTCCCTTCTTTCTTTTTTCCTGTTGATTTACTTATTTTGATGAAAAGCTTGCTTCTTATACATAATTCATTGAGTTTTGTTGGCTTCAGTTTGATTTAGTCATTGTTTTAATTATGGGATTCCTTGTTATTAATTTTAAGTGATTACTGTTTCTTGATTATCTTGATATTGATTAGTAACAAAATTCACATGATTGTCTTGATTATTTTGTTGCAGAAAGCTGTGTTGAAATTGGAGTTGCATGATGAGAAAGCCAAGAAAAAAGCCATGAAGACAGTCTCTGGTCTCTCAGGTATTGAATTATTTTATTTATTTATTGCTATATGGTCATTACCTAATAAATTGTGATGCAAATTTGCAGGGGTGGATTCAGTATCCATCGACATGAAGGACAAGAAGTTGACAGTGATAGGGGACATGGATCCAGTACACATAGTGGCCAAACTGAGAAAGCTGTGTCACACAGAAATAGCCACAGTAGGACCGGCGAAAGAGCCTGAGAAGAAAAAAGATGAGCCCAAGAAAGAAGAGCCGAAGAAGCAAGGAGATCAGAAGAAGAAAGGTCAAGATCAAGATCAGGTGGCTTACCAGGCCTACAATCCTCATATGCCCCCATATTATTATGCTAGAATTGTAGAGGATACTCCAAATGCTTGTGCCATTTCTTAATTAGACGTTAAAAACAAACATAATATATAAAGATGAAATAAGTGGAAAAATAAATAGCTATGATAATTAGTTGGTGATTTTGAAAAGTTTCGGTGTTATTAGAACAGAAGTTTGATGTTGTTGGGTTGTTTTATATAAATAAATTAAGGGTTTTATTTTGATATTATGCATATGGAAAAATAGGAGTTTCGTTAAGGATACAAAATTGAAGATATAAGATAAATTTATTTTAGAATATTTTTGAAATAAACTTTTTTATTTTCAAAACAATAAACGCACGGAGATATATATTTTTTTCCATGTTGCATTTGTTTTTTTCTACCATATCCAAGTACTGGTTATGAGTACTTTGTGATTTTTCTTGTCTTTTTATAGCTGGAAATGGGAAATCATGACAGCTTTGTGTTTGGCGGACACAGGGTTTGAGAATACAATTACTCGGCCAGGGTTTTAGCACAGAACAGGTCATGTAATATGGTGTTGATCTAAAAGAAAACGTTTGCAAGAAAAGTACAGATGTTCCCTTAAGAATTCATCCTCCATGGAAACATGAAAACTAATGTGATGGATGGATGCAGTACGATGAACGTTGTGCTGTTGACTAAAGTTGTTTTGGCATTTTGTAGGATAAATCTCAAAAACTATCCTGCAATTCTACTGTTTTTTGTATTAAAAGGGCAAAGATTTTCCCTTTTCCACTCCTATGATTTATGGCCTTCGCTTTTTTCAGAGGTGTCGAGTCTCCTTTCCTTTGTGAATTATGCTGCGAAAGACACGTTCTTTTTTACACTGGCATGGGCTCTTTGGTCGTTGAAAAATATCCCACACAGTGTGTGAAGATCACTTTAACCAATGAATAAAATATAGAACAAATCTGTGTAAAAAATATTGCCGTGGGAGGATAAGGATATGAAGTTTGTTCTGTAGCAGTACTGATCATGACCTGCTATATGCCGGCTAATGTTCGTTTAATTTGCAGATCTCAAACTGGACAAGAATGCCGGCTAATGTTCGTTTAATTTGCAGAAAACTCCATGCATACAGCGACTATGCACTAAGAATTTTATATATATATAAAGACACATCAGCATGTATTATGGACGTCAATTCTATTTTGAATTAAATTAATATTGCACATCAATCTTTAATTCCACGCGTGTGAGGTTTTGTTTTTTGTTTTATCCAATTATTATAACTTGATTTTTTCAGATATATGATAACAGATAGAAAGAACACCCACAAGGAAGAATCCTATTAAAAAAAAAAAGAAATATTGTTCTTCCCTGCTATCATACACTGAAATAAAGGAAGTCTTTTTTTTCTTCAGGCATGACTATCATATTGAACGAATGCATTAAGAGGATTAATTCTTTTAAATAGCACTCTTAAAATATAAATTTAAAAAAGTCAAGAAATTAATGAACAAATTTTCATAGCTACCAAACCAATTCTTTAAGTTTACAGCAACATATGCTAATCATGTCATCACCTAGCTTGGAAATTAAACAACGTTATCGATTCCAAACAATTGAAACTAAGATTACTGTTTTTTTAAAGCTTAATTCAACAAATTGAAACCATAAATGTCTAAACTTACTTCACATCCCGTATGTGATTAGATGAAGTCATAGGATCGGATAGAGATTTGCTAAAGTACGGACAACTCTTCGGAAATGTAGTTATAATTATTGTTAAAGTATTTTTTATTTGAAAATATATTAAAATAATATTTTTTAAAAATTATTTTTGATATTAGCACAATAAAATAATTTAAAAACATCAAAAAAATATTAAATTAAAATAAAAAAATTAATTTCTTTTAAAAAATTTTAAAATACATTTCATACCATTTTCCAGCTACAATTACACACCACCTTCACCAGATGATAAAAAGGGGTTTTATACGTCATCAGTTGATACGTCATTTGCAAAGCAGTCCTTCAATTAATTAAAATATTAATTAAGTAGAATTTTGCCATTGTTGGGGATGGGATCGAGATGCTTCTAATAAAAGCCACTGTGAGTCTATGACCAAAACTTGTGGACTTCGAGATCGAACTAATATCTCCATGCTCATAAAAAAACCCAGAGCATCTTTATAAAAAAAATTAAAAAAAAGGTGTCCATGTACCCATATCATGATCCCATAAGTTCATGTTTTAATTTGGTGACATAAGCAGATATGTATCACGATCCGCGTTATAAGATATGGTTATATTTATGAGGTGAATGTCGTGAAAATAATATTTTTTTTCAAAATTATATTATTGTAGGGATTTTTTTTAAAAAAAAGCCCAATTCATGACTTGTGTCTTTGGCGAGTAAATTTTCCAGGTTGAGTCTTATTTATGATTAAAATATTATGAAATATGCTGTTTTGCACTGCAATTCTCAGCTGTCTTCTTCCAACAACTAAAGCTAGACGTAGATTGGCTTGCAGATGTTTCCATGTGTTCATCTGTCAAAGGAAGCTCAAATAAGTTTATGTATATATACGAGTACTCACGTAACTTCTGGCCTTAACACTTTAAGAAATCACATTAACAAGTACCAATTAATAAAAAATACTGAGCATTTTCTTAGTTTATTCGACAAAAAGACAAAGAAAAGCCATACACTATTTGCTATTAACTCCATGGGAGTTGAAGAAAAACCAAAAAGAGAAGAAGAAGAAGAACAACAACAACAACAAGAAGGAAAGGAAAGCACATGCTCGGGTCGTCATCATATCCTTCCTCATCCCCGTGAGTTCTTGCCTTCGTCCTCTTCTATCCACATCTTCTTCTGGACTTGTTCAAACCCAGGAAATGAACCCTTTTTGTTTGGATCCATACTCGTAGATAAAGCCCCATACGCAATCCGACAAACAGAAGACCCAAAGTGAGGAAAAGTGTCAAAAAGCATGAAACATTTTTGCACATTCCACGTTGTTGCTCCCTAACCAAACCCATCACATACATTGATGCAAAAGCCTAATGCCATGCATGGGCATATTGAAGGCTTGGGTGGGCTGTAGTGCAGTCCACATTTCTGTCCAATTTTTTTACTACTATTAAATAAGTCTAAGTTACACTTAAAATAATATTTTTTTATTTTATTAATTTAAGATGTATTTATTTCTATATTATTATTTGAATAAATAAAAAATTAATTTAATAAATAAATGTAATAAATATAACCGGATAAATAAATATTTTATTCTAAATTAAATATCTTAATCTATAATTATTTTTTAATTTTACTTTTAATTATTGATTATTTATTTATTTATTAACCCAAATGGTTTACAGTTTTAAATTTATTTGATTATATATCTGTATAAATTTTTTAATTGCAAAAATATATTTAAAAAATATCTGTATGTGTGTGTGTGTGTGTATATATATATGTTTTTTGAATCACGATTAAATAGCCAGTAAAAATCTAAACTTGCTTTTTTCAAAAAAGAAAAAGAAATAAAGAGAACACCCTACGATTAGAAACGAAAGGCATTTTCGAAACTTGAAACACCAAAGCGCTTTCCTTTGCTGGTCCTAGAATTTTGTGCTTACTGACCATAAACTAATGTCCTTAGATTGACTCGGTGCTCTCTCTTCACTTCCCCAACAAAGAACCTTCACCTCATCACCAAGTTTTTCCTTTTGTTTTCTTAGCTCCTCCTCCCTCCTCGAGCTTTCTTTATTTACTGTTTGATTTCAACTATTTCTTTGATCAGACCTCTCTAAGCTATAGAAATGAAGGTGAGAATCAACTCTCTCTCTCTCTCTCTCTCTATTTTCTGTCAGATGACTTGCATGAGGGACTCATGAATCATGAATCAAGTTTTCTTTTCCGTTCCCTTTTTTCCATGTTGATGTACTTATTTTGCTGAAAAACTTGCTTCTTTTTCATGACTCAGTGAGTTTTGTTAGCTTCAGTTGATTGAGTCATTTTTTCTATGATATTGATTTATAACAAAGTTTACATGAGCTTATTTTGTTGCAGAAAGCTGGGTTGAAATTGGGTTTTCACGATGACAAAGCCAAGAAAAAAGCCATGAAGACAGTCTCTAGTCTTTCAGGTATATAATTTAATTATTTATTTTTTGCTATATGGTCATTAACTTATAAATCCAAGATCATCAAACAAGTATTGATGATTTTTATTTTATTTTATTTAGTGGTTTAATTTGTGACGCAAATTTGCAGGGGACGTTAATCCCATAGTGGCCAAATCGAGAAAGTTGTGCGGCGCAGAAATAGTTACAGCAGGACCAGCAAAAGAGCCTGGAAAGAGAAAAGACGAGCCCAAGAAAGAACAGTAAAAGAAGCAAGAAGATCAGAAGATAGCAGATCATGTAGCTAAGCTAGTCAAGGCTTACCAGGCCTATAACCCTCGTATGACCACCTAGTAGTATGTTAGAAGTGCAGATGAAAACCCAGATGCTTGTGTCATCTGTTAGTTTGTAAATTACATGTTAAAAAGATGCTTGTGTCATCTCTATATCTATATTATCTTCATTTTTAACACCTTGTTAAGTATATTTAAGTAAAATATATTAGAATGTTTAGTTGTATAATGACAAACGAGTTTAATTTTTTTTTTTTTGGTCTTTGGACATATTAAAGAAAATAAGTTAAAACTTAGTTGTATAATGACAAACGAGTTTTTTTTTTTTTTTGGTATTTGGACATATTAAAGAAAATAAGTTAAAAAACAATAGATTTTGAATCATTAACTATTTTTAAATAGTATATTTAAAAAAAATAAATTTTTGGTGTTTGGAAAACATTGAAAATAATTTGTTTTGTATCATAATTTGATACCACAATTGATATGATTTAAAATATATGATTATTGTATAATATAACATGTTTTGTATTCAAATGTAATATTTTCTAGCAATATTATTTAAATTGAAGTGTTATGTGTACTAATATATCAAATTAATATTAAATTTATATTTTTCTTTGACGAGGAGATGAATTTTATTGACTAGTTTTTGAAAATGTAATCATATATAATAAAATCAAGAAAATGATTCACAGAAAACACCTTGTGAGCAACAAACAAGATTTGAAAGCGAGATATCATGCCAACTTTGTGTTTGGCATTTGCAGACACATAATTGGAGTATATGGAAACTAATGAGATGGACGCAACTTCATTGATGAACACTGGTGTTCTTCACTAGTGTTGTTTTGACAATTCCCCCCCCCCCTTATATATAAGCTAGAAGATTAAGCCAAAGAAGGCAAAACAAAAGGGACCTGCGAGGGTCAAGAGGAAGACTGATATATGGGCGTAAGGGCAAAACAAACACAGAACCAAAAAAATCACAAAATGATTCTTTGCACCCTTCGATCCTGGACAAGTTTCAAAAACTATACATCCAGCAGTTCTACTGTTTTGTGTGAAAAGGGCAAGACTTTTCCCCTTTCCACTCCAATGACCTTTGGCTCTCTCTCTCTCTACTAGCAATGTTCTTCGAGTTTCCTTTCCTTTGTGAATTGCGAGGAAGTCATCTTTGTTTTTTTGACAGCTGCATTACTTTTCTGCTTCCTTGAGAAATATCCCACGCAGCGTGTGAAGATCACTTTAACCGATGAATAAAAAATCGAACAAGTTGTGCTCTTGGGATCAATGCTGCGGTGGGAGGATAAGCATGCATAGTTTGTTCTTTAGCACCGATCAAAGGCCTTCTCAACCTGACAAGAATGCCACCTACTGTTTTGTTCGCAGAAAACTCCATCCAGAAAATGACATTGCTTTTAAAATAAAATATACGAGGATAAAATAGCAATAGTTTATTTATAAATATATTAAAATAATATTTTTAATTTTTTAAATATCAGTATAATATTAAATGATCTAAAAATAATAATAAAAATTTAAGTTATGTTTTCTTTATTTTAAATTAATTATTTTTAATATTTTTAAATGGTTTTGATATACTGTTATTAAAAATAAATTTTAAAAAATAAAATAAATTTTATTTTAATATATTTTTAAATAAAAAATATCTCATTAAAAAACCAACTTTAAAAAGCACATCAATATGTAACTTTAAATTAAATTAAATTAAATTAAACACACATCAATATATAATTTCAAGAAGATTACTGTTTTCTTAGAGGTGAACTCAACATCTACTTTTAAGCTTGGATGGTGTCGGCTAAACTAACTTCACCTCTCGTATGTGACAAGATGAAGTCATAGAGGATCGTCATATGATAGAGATTTGCCAAAGTACGGACACCTCCGAGGTTACCTCTTGCAGAGTTTGGCTATTAAAAAATCATAGGATTTTTAATTTCCAGCTAGTTTTACATACCACCTTCACTGGATGGTAATCAAAATTGGAAAAAATGATTTTACACGTCATCACTCGACACGTCATTTGCAAAGCAGTCCTTCAATTAATTAAAATATTAATTAAGTAGAATGCTTCTAGTAAAAGCCATCGTGAGTCTAAACGACAAAAATGTGGCGACTTCTGACCAAACTAATATCTCCATCAACAATAAATTTTGTATACACGTGTCCATGTCATGATCACACAGGTTCATGTTTTGATGTGGTGTCACGTGTGGCGATAAATTGTGCAATCATCATACAAAATTAAAAACAATTATGTGAATTAATATGAAAGTAAAATGTTTTAATGAAGTAGACTAGTTTTATTATGTTGTATTTTATAAAAATTTAAATATAATATAATATCTTATATTTGATTGTCCAGAATTATTAGTATGAATAATAATTTTAAATTTTTTTAATTAGAGTTTATTTTTAATTTATAATTTTGATAAAAAATATATATATTAGTTCATAAAATATATTTAAAAAAAAAAACTTTACAAAATTATGTTTTGTGTAAAATGGTTCATCAGTTAATATAATTATATCTAACCAGACACTGTTAAGATAAAAAAATAAAATTTAATTATATTACTCTTTTAAAATAAGATATCATTAAAATATATTATTTTATCATTATTTTTTAATACGGTATTATTCTATAAAATTTTCACATTTAATTTACTATTTTTTTTTAAAAAATCCCATATGTAGGTGTTAAGAAATGATTGAATATGCTGTGGTGTACTGCAATTTTCGGCTGCCTTGTTCCGACAACTAAGCTAGTTTTGGATTTACGTGTTCGTGTGCGCAATATTGTAGATTGGCGTGCTGAGGCTTGCATGTGTTCATATAAACTAGGAAACTCACCTAGGACATCATATTAACAGTACCAATTAATACAAACATGGAGCAAGTTCTTAATTTCTTCGACAAGAAGATAAAAAACCATCCACTATTTGTTGGGAGCACTTGCTCGTTATTCTCATATAGCTTATATGATGATGATGATTTGTTTATAGTGTGATAACCACTACTTGTCTCAAAGATGAAATTATCTCAAGCTCAAGCTGAGTTTGGAGGTCAGATCACAAATTAAACAAAAGTAATCAGGGCATCAGAGACATCATGCTGTTTAATTGCTGATGTTAAGAAGGAAGAAGAACTGGAAAAAGAAGAGCCAATGAAGCAAGAAGAGTTGGTGGAAGAAGTAGTAAATGCGTCTTCGCTAGCTGCTGGTATAGGACCTTCAAAAGAGCCCAGGAAGAAGGAAGAAGAGCTTGTTAAATTTTACAGGTCCTATAATCCTCAAATGAGCACTTCTTATTATGCTACAAGTATGGAGGAAAATCGTTTTGATCAATGGATATTTGTTATAAGTTTTCGTATGAATCACTGAAAATGATACTATAAACCAATGCTTTTGAAATTTGTTCATACTTGTGTGTTTACGATGAATGAGCTTTCTACAAAATAAATTATTATGTTTTTTTTCCCTTTTTATATAGCTTAAAAACTTTATTTTTATATATATATATTTTTTCTTACTATGATGACACCTCTTCTGGGATTTCTTCATAATCATTATTGTTAGTGTTGTTCTTGTTGGTAGTAGTCTTCTTTACTCTACTTTCTTGTATGGAAGGTGGCGTGCTGGCAAAATCTTTGGTATTTGCTGTAGTTTCCATGGTCAACATGTGCTTTTAAATATATTAATTTTTTTTATAAATTTATTTTTCACGTAAAAACATCGTAGCAATACAAAAATCTTAATTTTTTTTAATTTTTTTTTTGTTTTTAAATCTTGTATTGATACGCCTCCCCCAAACACCACCTTGGACCTCAAAAAACAGGACAGTGTGTCTTGAACAATTTTTTTGAAACCATTTTTCTCTCTATTTTCAAGAAGTCTTCGATGCATGTGGCTAAATGTCTCTTGGACAAAGTCATTGTAGGCCTAACGCCCAGGCCAGATTTGATTTTGTGCAGGACCTAGAATTTCATTGATATTGCTTGTGGCATCATTTCAATGGCCTAGGCCTAGTCTATTAAGAAAATGGATGGGAGTAGGAGAGCGTGCTGTAAAATATAAACCAGTCCTTCCACTTTGAGCCAATTGAAAAATCAAAGAAATGATAGAGAAGCACAAAATAATCCCATCACAGAGAGGCCTATTTCGTGCCCATTTTCATAAATAAATCCCAGCTCCAACAGCCCATATGGAACAGACACTATATGCCATCATCAGGCCTTCTCAGCTTCTCGTATGATTTTCTAGAAACCTGCCGATAGAATGCTGTTGTCAGCAGCAGGAAAGAAGCAAGCAATATTCAGATGCAAAAACAATTACTACATACATTTGAGCATACCTTATTGGAGGATGGTGAATTGTGAGGAGAGCCTGTAAGATGAGCTGGAGAATTTGGAACAGATTTTGCTGGCGGGGAAGCATCAAGTGTTGGCCTAATAGATGGTGAGTAGGCATATGGTGGTATTGGTGAGAGCAGTATAGAAGATACTGGACTTTGGTGATAGGGAGAAACCGGTGACGCCGTTCCCGCTCCGGGTGATCTTCGCGGAGGAATCATATTGATTGTAATCCTTTTCAAGAACAAAAAGGCAGAGTGGTTAGTGATTTTTAAGAGTAGCTGATAAAGTTTAAGTTGAGTGAATGCATATGCAGAAAGGAAAGTAGACATTACTTGTTATGAACATCTACATACTCATCAGTTTCATCCAATATTTCTTCCTGCAAAATTATACATGTAAATGTAGAGATACTCAAGATGTTAACCAGAAACTGTAACATATGCAGCTAAAACTTTACTGTTATCCACCAAAGTTCTGCGGTCAAACTGATTATTTTCTGAAAGTTATTAGAATTTTACACTGATTTGAAATTTCTGAATGTTGTATTCATATCTGAGTGTCCTGATGCGAATCAGAGTAAATTCTAAGAAAAATATAATTTATTCATCACCTGAATCAGTTCCTCCATAACATCTTCCAAGGTTATAACACCAATGACTTCCTCATCTGAAGCTGAAAGAAATTCCAATTCTTCATGTGAAATATTTCCATGTCGGTGTTCTTGATTCTGCAATTTTGGGTGCAAATTGTCTCTTAGATTCCTGAAATCGATCGGTTTCGGACTCTCAATGTCAGTGCCACTGGAATACACGGATGGTGAGTTCACAGGAATGATGAATTGATCTTTCTGACCAAGTTGGTAGCTTCCTGAAACTACAACCATAAACTTAGAAAGACAGGTTTTTGCTTCAAGTTCATAGAAAATATGTGAGAGGCCATGTAATTCTACCCCTTTTCCCCAACATGGTAGGCTTGGAGTTTGCTTTATGTGCAGTCTCGTAAGCATCATTCTTACTCTTAACAACAATAGCCATATGGCTATGACCTTTCTGAAATTGATTCATTATATCATAAAGAGGCAAATGATCAGGAACCCTGCCACGGATTTTGAGGGACAGAGTTAATTTTTGTACAGATTGTGGCATACAAAACATATATAAAAGCTGCCAAAGTACAGCCAGGAAACTATATACCTCGGAATCCTCCTGATAGTTAGATCTCTTATCGGTGTTTCATCTTCAGGTCGGCACCTGATTAAATTTTTCACCTGTGCACATGTTTTAGCCAACTGTTTAGCATGTTCCTTTAAACCCAAAATAGAAATTGCAGCTTCCATCTTCTTACCAAGATCAGACCGATAATATTTGTTGGATTCCCTGTGTAAATCGGTACACGGCTATGGCCTTTCCTTATTATCAACCCCATTGTTTTCCTAAGGAGAAAAATGAATCATGGATCGGATAAGATGTAAATATCAGAAGTAAATTTTACAGCGATGCAAGGCGTGCGTGCATACTCGTCAAGTTTACAATTAATATCCAATGAAAACGTTTCTGATATGGGTGTCATAGCATCTTTTGCAGTTTTCTGAGTGAGATCCAAGGCTCCAGTAATGATAGTTGTTTCATCATGCGTCAGTTCTCCACCTTTCCCTGCCTAACAGTTCAAGATTTCGATCACTTTCAGCCCCTGAAATGTCACCACCATAGTTTTTTTTTTCTTTTTGCTTGTGAAGTTTGATTCTTTTAGATACACTGACCTCATCTCCATGCATGTCCACCAAAGTCTTCAACTCTGCGCGTCGCAGAAGGGCAGAATGCTTTTCTCCAAGGATCCAATCCAGGAGCTGTCACAAGGAATTTTGATCAGAAATCTTTAATAACATGATCTACAAAAAAAAAAGCTGAGAAACACCTAGCTCTTACCTTACTGATAGGATAAGCTAGAGGAAAGAGGACCATAACAATAAACCTAACGACGATAGACAGTTTCGCACCAATGCTCAGGCCATACCTAGAACAAACTGCTTGAGGGATAATCTGCAGAACAACATGACTAGTTATTCTAGGAAACTATGGTTGATCCATGTATGCAAGTTCCTCATGATAACCGAAAAACGTATGATTTTACCTCACCAAAGGTAAGTATGAGGGTTACTGATATTAGTATAGCACCCCAAGCAGGAAGAAGCGCGTCAAGGAAGATAGGCAGGGCCTTAATTCAATGCATAAATCAGAATTAATCACGTCTAACTGAGTTCTTGCAAGATTTGTTATATTTCAAGGCAATACATATACCTCCATAGCCAAAGCATTTCCTATGAGGAGAGTACATAGCAGTAAATGCCGATTCTTCACAATAGGCAGAATCTTCTCTGCCATGATCAATAAATAACATGTAATTAAAAAACTCTCAGCTACATGTTTAACTAGTGAAAGAAAATACAGCATGGTGAGAAAATATTGATATGAACCTGCATTCTTTCGTTCTTGTGGCTGACCAGCCCTGATCAGAACCTCAAGATCAACAACAGTAAGAGACATAAGTCCTATTGTAAGACCAGACATTAGGCCAGCAAAAGACACTAGAGCCATGCATATGATTAGATATGTCCAAAACATGGGCTCACAACATGGCACATCATTTGCTGCCATTTTTCTGTATGATATCAAGTGATGATCGGAAAAGATGTAGACAACACGGTTGTTATATACAAAAAAGGAAAGAGACTATCTATTCAGATGAAGAAAGAGTTGGTTCTGAAAAGGGATCGGGTAGGGCAAAACAAGACACCGACTTTCGTGTCATGAAGCTTGGAAAGGGCAAGATACCAACTGCCAAATATTAACTTATTAATAATCTGCCATGCATTACCTTACAGTCTTACATTATGACCTGCTGATCCAAAAAGCAGTTAACTTGATCCAACAAAAATATTTTAAATCTTGAGAAAGATGGAGTCTCCATTAGTGTATGTATATTTTGATAGCAATTGAAGATATAGTTATTCATCAATACACACACACACACACACAAGCTAGCACATTGGACTCGTGCATTCTTTTCTTGTTGGAAAAAAAAATTCTGAAACTTACTAGTTCCAAGATAATATCTGCTTGTATTCTTCTTTCGTAGCGTTGTGTTCTTGAAATTCTTGTTCCTTTATCATCGTGATATTAATTAAACATAATTTTATTTTGCTAGGAAGTTTCCTAGTAGTGATTGACGAAATCCCACTTAGATTCGATGATATTTTGCTTTCAGTGCTGAACAAAAAGCAGAACTAGACAATTGATTATACAAACACACGACTCTTACTTCTTATTGGCCTTTCCTTACTGTATTTTCATATTTTTGGCCGCCCATGAAGTGGCAAACAGTGGCTCTGATTAAAAATAACTAATTCATTACTCAACTTATGGGAACAAAATCTGCCCAGTCATAACACCCTCATTTGATTTTGGTATTCCACATCTAAACTAGTTCATTTATGAAAAATTATCTTTTTTCATGCCCTTTTCTAATGATTTGCTAAGAAGCGTAGACTGAATTTGCAAATGATCCAAAAAGATTCATGGTCGTTGATGTAATGTTCTTAGTTAGATTGTTCATTCCTGTGAATTTTTACTTTACTTCTCCTGAGTTACTGTTTTAATTTGAACTCCCTGGGGTTTGTTCTTTCCTAGTTATCCTCTAAATGACTACTTTTCATCAATAATATTCTTTTGATTACCATAAAAAAGATATAATGATAAATGTAAAAAATAAATCGTTAAAACATACGTTAATGGTTTAAGAATCCAATGATTTTCTAGATAGTATTTGGTAGAAAAAAACAAACAAAATAGGGCTTTTTCATTCTTATTATTTTCATAGACAATAAACAAATAATATTTTTAAAAACTATAAATCTTAATGGTGAATGAAATGTGTGTTTAATATTTCCATTGAAATCTTCTTTTTTTTTTTTAAAAAAAAAGAGAGAAATATATTCACATCCCTACATCAAAATCATTTAAAAACGTTCAAAAAACATCAATTAAATGGAGTAGTGAATTGAGGTCAGTGGTATTGACATGCATCTCCTTCAAGGCAAAGGGAGTAGCTTCTGCATGTAGTGCAAGACAAGTACCAAACTTATTCCATGTAAATAATACTTGCGTTAGAAACATAATTACGAGAGGGATATATAATGCCAAACCGACTAAAGCAAGATAACACATAAAGATAAACAATGCTCTTAATTTAGAAGGTAGCTGAGGATAAATATGATTTAAAAAAACAGGTGTGGATCGATGAATGAGATCAGCCTAGTTTTTATCATTGAATTAATATTACCAGTTGCTAGTATATATATATATGCTTTAACTGGAATACTGGCATGTACTTTAGCTAATGTTAGGTAGGGATTCTTACTAATACCTAAATACCTGTTTCTAGTTGCTTTATTAATATATTTATTAAGCAAATCAACTTGTTTTGCTTGCAAACTGCAGGACTGACAGTGCTTTTCACATCCTTCTTGCTCTTCACAACGACAGCCACTCTGAATGTGTCTGTGACGTTAATTTTTAGTATACTGTGTAGTGTGAAATCTTCCCTCACCCTATTTCATTGGTGAAAATGTCATTCATGTCATTGAAGCATAGCTTAAGCATGATGAAGAATGATTATCTATGAGCTCAAATTTCCATCTAGTCAAGGAGGACTAGGGTTTAGACGGCAGAACCTGTCAAATATCATAAAAGCATTCCATACTCAGGAATTTTCCTGATAGACATGCATTTCGTTGGGGTTCAACTTCAGGATTTATGGGTGTATTGTGCATGTACTAAAAATAAAATATTTTAATATTTGAATTACCTTCGTAGAAGATGATCGCTATTACAAAGTTCTTCACAATCTGTCCACGAAGTGATGGGTGTTCATATTAAAAAGTTAAAGATGAGTATAAATCACAGCGGGCTTAAATTAAGAGTCGCTTGGGGAATGGTCAAGGTTTATTTTAATAAAGTTTTTTAAAAAGTTTTAAAAATATATTTTTTTAATTATATTTAATGAAATGAATATTATTTTCACTTAAAAAAATTCCGAATTACGAAATAAAAAAGATATCGTTTATAATTAATTTCGTTAAAATTCCTCATTCATCTTCAGTCCGCTAAGGTATAATAAAAGGCAGTTGCTTGCAAGAATTAATATCAAAACAATAATGACAGAAGGCGATGCTTGAGGCATAAGGAATAAAAACTATGTTAATTACACAACTTGAATAGTTTTATAGTTTTATTTAATAATACCAATAAAGTAAATGGCTAGAAGTTTTTTCAACAATCAAAGTTCACACAACTAATATAATAGTACCTTGGCCGGCCCATCACAACGGGTTAATAATAATTTTTTTAAAATATAAAAAGTTTATAAAAAATATAAAGAATATATTAAATATTTTTTTAAATATAATTTTTTTTCAATGTATTTTGATAATTTAAAAATATAACAAATTAAAACATTTATGTATATATATAATTAAATAAACTAAGAATTATATGTATTTCTATTGGAAACAAAACCAAATGCTATTCGGTCTGCTGGGCAAAGAATTCAATTATATTAGGTTCTGATAGTAGTAATTTAACCCAATTTAATCTTAAATTAAAAAAATTATCATTATTTAATTTTTATATAATATAAAAAATAAATAAAAAATAAAAAATTTAAAAAAAAAAATATTTGAATTTAACTAAAGATTGAATCCAATAGCTTTAAATCTCATTGTAGGCTAGACCCAATATTATTAAATTGAACTAAATAATAATATATAATACAACTAATAATACCCAACACTCTTAGATAATATCATTAAATTATTTTAAAATTTATTTGTAAAAAAAAGGTAACAAAAACATTTATTAAACTTTCTTATAATTTCTCTACTAAAAAAAAGATAAATATCAAAATACTCAATGGAGGGATCAATTTGGACATCCTTTAAACGCTAGGGAGATGTTTTGTAATATAGTAGAAAAGAAATGGTGTGGACTGATTTGCAAATTCAGTGACAAGATTTCCCGCTTCTGCTTCCGCTGAACAGGGAAAAAAAAAAACAGTATGAGAAAAAATGGGATCGAAATCAAGCATGACAACAACAATGGAAGACGTAGATAGATTATTCGAATGTTTCAAATGCGGCATTTCTCCTCCTCGTAAGTTCCAAAGGAAAAAAGAAAAAAAAACCCAATTTTTTTAGTTAAATTTTTCAATTTTATTCGAGTTTAATTTTTCAATTTGATTTTTTTTAAGATTTTGAAAAGAAGATTTACAGTTATAATGATGTTGCAGAATCTGCTGTGAGAGAGAGAAAGAGAAGTAAAGGAAAAATCAAGAATCAAGGGATTTCAATAAATGAAGCATCTCCTGGTTCAGCTGAGCAACCAAAGAAGAAAGTACATAATTTTTTAATTGCTTTTTGTTTTTTCTACTTTTTCAGAGATGGGTTTTTCTTTTTTTGATTGGAAACTCATGTTTTGATGTTCATTGTAAGAGATTGACAAAGTTATTGACTTTGTATTGTTATTGGTTTTTCTTCCTAGTTTTATAGTGATGGGTTTTGCTTATTGTGGTCAGAAATTCTTGTTTCGATGTTCGTTGTAATGTAGAGATTAATAAAGTTAATGACTTTGTATTATTATTGTTTTACTTTTGTGCTAGATCTTGCATTTAAATAAAATAAAACAAAATAAAAAAATTATGTTTTGATGCTGATTGTAATGCAGAGATTGGTAAAGTTATTTACTTTGGATTATTATTGGTATTTTAATTCTTATTCTTTTAGTGATAGGTTTATTTCTTATTGGAAATTTATGTTATGATTTTCTTTGTAATGTAAAAATTGATGAAGTTATTAACTTGGTGTTTTATCGATCTAGATGGCATCAAATGCAGTTGAAAGAAAGAATGTTAGTCAAGGAAAGCAGATCTCTCCAGTTGTGTTTTATGGGTCTCCACATGGAGTGCCACCAAAAAGACCCATTAGCTTGTTGAGACTTTTGCGTGAAATTCGCATTGATCTCGCAGAACAACAAAAATCACATTTGAGGTTGTAGTTCATTTTTTTACTTTGTTTCTTTTTCTTTATGGTGTGAAGTGATTGTGTTGCTTGTTTTGTTAGTAAGGAGGTATGGGCAACGTTTCCTAGGCAGAATGAAGCGATGAATTTTGCAAAAGAGCATGCAGATGTATGCATTTTTAGCTATCAAGATCACCATAATGGACAACGAAGGTTTCTTGTTTCAACATACAGAGAGTTTTGGAGAAGGTTCTCTCTCTTGTCTTTCCTTTATGCAATGATGTTTAGAATAAAAAATACTTCAGGTACTTTCTCTGATAGGTGTCTGGTTTTTTCCCCATCGTTTTTAATTTCAGGTACAAAAACATGGATGCTAGATTTCGCCACCATTATGAAGTGATTCAGGAGGTAAGAAACTTCCCCTTGTTTTCCATTGCATAAAAGAAGACACAAGGATGATTGCACAGGAATCCATTCATCATAAAATGTAAACAGTGATTGTTGAAAGATCGTGGTTGGCTTTACATTGATAAACTTCTATAAATTGTGCCTACAATTTCACGTTGTTTTCTATTTACTGTTTCATTTCAAGGCAATTACATTGATGTAATTTGGTTGCAGCAAACCTGCAAGGATGTTCTAGTAGTAATGTCAATAGTGCACAAATGATGGTCATTTGTGTGCCATTATTGTAATTTATGCCAGTTCTATGCTATTGCTGTTTCAGGGTTTACCATGCCACCTTTATT